ACCTCGAGCAATGCGGCGCAGCGCAGCGCGCCCGGATGGCCGCGGCAATGATGGTTGCAATGGGGCACATTTGCAGCGCGCGCCCTGATCAACCCGCAAATTCACACTGAAATGTTACGTCTACGGTGGGAAAACTATTTCCTACTTGACACGACCTTTTAACTACTTGTTCCGACTTAAACATATTATGTTCTACGTTTTTCTATATTGAGAACTACTTTGCCCTGATTTTTCTATCCCATATTGATCAACATGGCCGGTTGCTGTCTAAGGATTCGCTGTCACAACGCGCGCGCCAGCCTCGTCGTAGAGCGCCGCGGCTCGGCGCGGGGCCCCGCCCCGCGCGCCCGCCAACTGATCCAGGACGCAACGCAGGGGCCGCGCCCCCCCTTGGACAGCGAGGGTGGAACAAGAAGGTCCGGCAGAACACGATGCACTGCATGCCGAGAAAGGGGGGGGGAAACAACCAAAAAATAATGCGTCACACCGCGCCAGCTCTGACAGATAACCGACGCCACAAGCAAAGTGATTCAAATCGGTGCCGGGGTGAGATAGGACGCGCGGGTTATGCCGAAATCGGCGATGCTCATAGACAGATATGTCAAGTGCAAACCAATGCGCGAAATCCACTGGACGAGCAGGTCGCGCTCGGCTCTGCGCGGACTTGCCCGCCCGCTGGAAAGGGGGCGGAGATCCCCACGGACCCCGGCCCCCTGCGCCGCGAGGCGCCGACTCAACTACAGGTGCAGACCGCAAACAGACCATTATACTTGCGGCTTGGACCAGAATTGCACGCCCTTGGCGAGGGGGCGCCCAGCCGCTAAGTCGGTCGGCGAGACCCCAACGGAGAACTCACCCGCTGGGCGGCGGCGCAGCAAGTGGCAACGTGCTGGGCAAATCAAGTGCCAGACCCGCAGCAGGTAGCATGCTGGAAGCAGATCGCGCGGCCAGCACGCGTCCCAAATTCTCCTATTCGCTGCGGCGGCGACGTGGCTGAGTCGGTGGATTGAAATAGACGATCCGAGAAAAAGGTTACAAAATGGCAAACGAGCACACGGGCTGAAATCACAGGCCATCTCGCCCTGCGCGCATAAGGCCCCACTGCGACCTGCGCCCCGCAAGACATAGCCGATTGCAACATGAATGTGGCTGGGAGAAACCAACATCAGCGCCAGCAGGCGCTCAAAGAGGTGGTCAGAGGCGAGCTTCGCCATGCGTAAATGCGTTTGGCGCGCCAGCCCGCGCGCGCTGAGGCGCGCATCTGGGCGCGGCGGCGCCCCGGCGCGCGCGACGCGTCGCATGCCTGGGCAGAGGCGCGGCATGCCTCTGCCATAGCGCACGCTTCGGCCAGCTGAGCATGCCGATGCCCTGCGTGCGCTGCAGGGCGCGCAGGCGCGCGCGGGCGTAGCGCGGCGCGTCTGCTGGCACCACCAGGCGCGCATGATGCCCCAACGTGCTTAGCATGACGCATGGAAATGGCAAGGCATAGCACAACGCACATGCGCACCAGCATCACTGGGCACTGGCGATGCCCCGAGCGCGCTGAGCGGCACATGAGTGCACATCCGTGGCGTGCACCGCGAGGTCTGCGCCGCGGTGCACTGGCAACGTGCGCGCGTGCCCCCCACTACCGAGCCCCAAGTGATAGGACAGTTGCCGCTGAAAAGACAAACCTGCGCAACTCTCTATCCGCAACTGCCACGGCAGAAGGTGCACAGATTGCCGCGTGGCCGCGTGCCTAGACCGAATGGCACAGCGTAACGCGTAGGCGTACTCTTGCGGCCGAAGGCACAATAAATGTGTCAGCGTGTTTGAACCTACACAATGTGCGCATCGTGCGCCCGATCGACAGGACGCACTGCATGCACCAGAGCGTGGGACAGCAGGTCTTGTTGTCAAGTGAGGGGCGCAGCTCTGTACCAACTGACTGTCAATCATGCTCAACATTGCTACCTTGTTGAGTGAATGAGCGAGTGGCGTGCTGGTGGTAAAGCTGACGAGTGGTCATGGCCAGGGCCGCGCGCGACGTAGCACGCAGGCTTGGCCACTTCCCTGTTCCTTGGGGAAGGGTCTGTAACAAAACTGCCAGGCAGAACGCGGCACGATAGCAGCACGTGCCCGCGGCATGCCTGGACGCCTCTTCTTGGACGAGGGCCGGTGCATATGGCGCCGATATCCTTCATAGCCAGCCAGGGAGAAGTACGGCAGCTCGGAGTTGCCGAACTGGTTGAAGGAAAATACGAGACAAAAGACATAAGTGAGTTACGGCCGCGGCGTAGCCGACGTGCTGGCTGCATCTGGACATGGTGTTTGCAGCGCTTGCCGGATGCGTGTCTGGCTGCGGTCCACAGTCGGGACATGAACACGACTCGGCGACATCAGGTTGGTGATAAGCCGTTTGCTGCCCCCGAGCGCCAAGATGGATATTCTCGTGAATAAATCCCCACCACGACGAAAGCTGCAGACGCGCCTTGGGCTCGAGCCTGCGCAAGGACGACGCCATGCTGGAGCAGGTGGCAGCCCTAGTAGTGTTGCTGCACGTAGATCAACGTTCAATGTTCCACTCGAAAGGTGCGACGTTCTCGCATATAAATGGGAAAGCCAACACACTCGCACACATCACGAGAAGAGCGCGAACCTGAGGCCAGAACATTGGGGTGCGATGGGTCGTGGAGACTTCGTGGCGTTCCCGTTGGCGGGTCGTTCCACATCGCGTAGTAGCCAGCAGCTGCTTCCGCGCTCACAGCTGGACTCTCACACGTCTCAAACGGTCTGGTTTTGGCCTCATCGTGGCCTTTGAACGCCCAGGCCAAATTATCTTAAGGTGCTCAAAACGGGGACGAAAGGCGCGAGCATTGAAAACATTGGAAGGCGTGCGAAAGTGCGTCCACTTCGCAATAGGCGCAGTCCGTCGAGCGCGAACTGGGATTGCTCCCGGCTCCGCTACCACGTGGAATGGCGGATGGCAGTGGAGAAAGGTAGAACGCACGGCGGCAATAACATGAGTAGAACAGCGGTCACTACAGTGAGCATACGTGCGCGCACTGTGAACCAGAATGGCGGCGGGTGCACGCCCGCACTCCTATTCGAGTAGGACGGAGGAGGCAGAAAGAGGATGTGGAAGGCGGAGGAGCATGATCGAGGAGGGAGGAGGCAGGGAGGAGAGGAGAGGAGGAGTCGGGGAAAAGGCGGGAAGGAGGAAAGGAGGGGAGAGGGGGGAGGAGGATGGGGAGGCCAGGGAGGGAGTTCAACCTAAGCATGGCGCAGTCTGCACCGGCCAGCGCAGTTGGCAGCAGCGGGCGTGGCCTCCAACTCCCCAGCAAAAGAGCTGTGTTTCTTGTGAGGCCCTCTTCCTCGCCTTCCTCGTCGTCCTCCTTCTCCTCCTCCCCCCCCTCCTCCTCATCTTCCTCCTCCTCCTCCTCCTTCTCCTCCTCATTCTCCTCCTCTACTCCTCCCTCCTCCCCCTCCTCCTCCTCCTCCTCTCCTCCTCCTCCTCCTCCTCCTCCTCCTCCTCCTCCTCCTCCTCCTCCTCCCCTCCTCCTCCTCCTCCTCCTCCTCCTCCTCCTCCTCTCCTCCTCCTCCTCCTCCTCCTCCTCCTCCTCCTCTCCTCCTCCTCCTCCTCCTCCCCCTCCTCCTCCTCTCTCCTCCTCCTCCTCCTCCTCATCATCATCATCATCAGCAGCATCATCAGCATCATCAGCATCATCATCATCATCACATCATCAGCAGCAGCAGCATCATCATCATCAGCAGCATCATCATCAGCATCATCATCATCCTTCTCCCTTCTCCTTCTCTCCTCCTCCTCCTCCCTCCTCCTCCTCCTCCTCCTCCTCCTCCTCCTCCTCCTCCTCCGTCTCCCCTCTCCCTCCTGGTCCTCCTCCGTGTCCTTCTCACCCGTCCCTGTCCTTTATAAACAGCTTCTCCCTGTCGCTTCACCAGATGCGTGGACAGGGCGGGTCGGGCGCTTCGCCCGAGACTTCCTGACCATTTCTGATCCTGAAGCTTGACAACTGCAACAGTTATACGGATGCAGGGCGAGCCGTCTTCAAAATGTGGCTCTCACCCTTTGCCCGCGCACTTGGGTTCAAACCAAAGTCAACAGCTTTACAAATGGAGGGCGGACCGCTTCAAAATGTGGCTCTCGCCTTACCGCCGCGCACATTCGTCTTGAACGTTTGCAGCGTTCACGGTGGAGAGCGGGTGGTTTTCAATATGTGGCTCTCGCCTTGTCGCCAGGCACATTCGTCCAGAAGGTTGCAACCGTTTGACGGATGGGGGGCGGTTCCGTTTCAAAGTGCGATTCTCACCTTAGCGCCGCGTACATTCGTCTTTTGTTTACAGCAGTTTCAAAAATTCGTATGGGCGGGGTCTCAGGAGGGGTGTTCTGGACCGGTTTAGGATTGCCAGGACGCGGCATTCACACCGAATCGCGGTGTTTAAGTCCCAGGAGTGGTGTTCTGGCACGGTAAAAAAAATAAGAGGACGCAGCAGTCATCCAAGGCGTTGAAATCGCAGGAACGGTGTTTTGCCACGATTGCGATTCTCGAGCGATTGTCTTCTCATGGGCCACTTCCCACCATGATAATAAACTGTTTCAGGGATCTACGAAGGGGAAGCTTGGAGGGAGAATGAATTGCAACGTCATTGATGCATCCAAGGTTTACACTGGTCCTCCTCCTCCTCCATTTTCTCCTCGCATGCTCCCTCCCCGCCTTCCCTTGGGAGGGAGGAAGAGAACGCGGATGAAGACATGAGTGAGATGAAGAAGAGGACGAGCAAGACGGAGGACGGGAGGGGAGGGGGAAGCGGGGAGGAGAAGGAGGATGAGGAAGGAGGAACGAGAAGACGGACGAGGCCGAGAAGATGGAGGGGGGTCCCGTGTAGGGTGGAGGGTGAGGCAGAATGAAGCGAACGAGGAAGAGTGCAAGAACGAGGGCGAGGAGGACTGGGAGGGGGAGGAGGGGGACGAGCACACGGTGACCAAGAAGAACGAAGAGGAGGAGGCGGAGAAGGAGGAGCCGCCAGGGGGCAGTCTCGACTGTTATCCTCGGCGCGGCCCTCCCTACCTACCTCTCGCCAAAGGCGACCTCAGTGCAAGGTCAAGAAACAATGCACAGCGCGACAGCCCGCTCACTGTGAATTTTGGCAGCGAGCACCTGGTCTCCCTGCTGTCTTCTCGCACCCACGTCTCGTGGCAACTCTCTCCCTCTCTCTCTCTCTCGTTCTCTCTCTCTCTCTCTCGCTCTATCTTTCTCTCTCTCTCTCTCGCTCTCTCTCTCTCTCTCTCTCGTTCTCTCTCTCTCTCTCTCTCTCTCTGTCTCTCTCTCTCCCCACGGCAGGAAAAAAAGTTCAGCCATCCGAACATCAGCACAGGGCAACCTTCGCGCGAGGACGCAGATCGTCTGACCAGAGCCTGCATGCACTGTGCGAATCGCGCTGGCACCTGCATGCGCTACACGGTTTCGGTGCGTACCGCGTGCTCGCTCGTAGGCCCAATGCTCCAACGAGCACGTGCGGTCGGAAAACGTACCACCGCAGGGCTCCGCGCGACGCTGACGTCTGTGCGAGTTCACTGCAGTGCCATGGCAGGTGGCCCGCCGACCCACCCTCCCCCGAGCACACGACGGCGAGGGAGGAAGCCCCCACGATCGACGGGCCGAGGAGGGAGGAGGAGGAGGAGGGAGGAGGAGGAGGAGGAATTGCGCCGCATCCCGCATGCATCGCCGAAACCTCGGCGACGCCGTCGGCGACGTCGGCGATGCATCGGCGCCGCCGGCGTCGAGACAAAAAGGGCTCCACATCGAGCCGCATCGCCGAGGCATCGGCGGTGCGGCGCGCGATCCTCCGACCTGGCTCTGCTCGGACCCCCGCCAGGCGTCGTGGGGTTGTTCGAACGGACCAGACACTTGGGGCCCAACCCTGGGATGTACGATGGGGGGGGGGGCGCCCATCCTCGGTAGGGGTGCGTCTGAAAAGCCCCCTCCCGGGGTTGTACGCCAGAGCTTCCCCCATTTCTTCCCGAGCGGCCACACTTTTCGGGCGGAACTCGGGGACTGGGTTGGGGGAGAAATGATGGGCCCATTTTCCACCACCACTACCATAGGTAGGAGAGGGAGAAGAAGGATGAAGATGAGGAGGAGGAGGAGGAGAAGGAGGAGGACCTTCTCATCCTCCCTTCTCCCCCGTCCTACAGATGGTAGTGGTGGTGATAAATTGGCCCATCCAGAAAAACCGCCTGCGAGTGTCAATCAATCCCTGCCTCGGACCGAGGGAGGGAGGACAGCCGCCGCCACCACCACCACCACCGCCGCCCGGAAGGGGGGCGGAGGGGCCAGGGGCGGCAATGGTGCGCAGACCTGCTCGGGGCGCTCCCGCGGGGGGGTCCCGCGCCCGTGCACGGCCCGCAGATCGGGAGCTGGGCGTCGCGGAACGGCGGGGAGGAGGGGGGGGGGGCGATCAACGGGGCGGGGGGAGAGAGAGGTGCACCTGTCGGGCGCTGGAGGCCCCCTTCGGGGCCCCAGGGGGGCCCCTTTCGGGGGCCCGGAAAAGGGGCAGCCCTCGCTGCCCCCCCCCCTCGTTGCTCGGTGCAAGCCTCGGGTCCCGGATGCCCCCTTCGGGGGCCCAGGACGCCCCTTCGGGGGGGCCCGGGAGGGCCCCCTCTTCTGCAGCCCTCGCTGCCCCCCCCCTCGTTTACAATCGGGCCGTTGAAGAAGGAAGCCGTTTCGGTGGGGAGGGGCTCGGCGTCCCTTCGTTGTGTCATAGTTTGCCTCAGGTGTTCCTTCGGTCTTCTGTGAGAAGTCGAAGTTCGAGCAGGGCTGGGGGGTCAGGTCTGCAGAATACCCGGAACGGACGTCCAGGGGTGCAACCAACCTGTTCGGTCAAGCTGGAGTTGATGCACCACACCCGGCGTCAAGCCAAAACTTTGGACAAAAGCAAACGGTTGGACTTTGCGCATCTTCGGCGGCTGAACTGGCGAGGCGTTTGACCACCTTGACGTCCCTGCTGTGGTGGCCCTGCAGAGGAAGGCGCCCGCTGACCCACGGCCCTGCTCGAGCCACAGTTCGACACATGGCGCAAAAAGCGGCCGGCCGCATTCCCTGTCTGGGGTTCCTTACGACAGCGCGTCGACTGTACAGCCGACCCGTATCAAAAGGAGGCGCGCTGAGGATGCGAGGGCCTCGGAAGGCCACGTCGACACTCTGCGCGTGGGGCGCGGCCAGCGAGAGTGGCCGAGCATGGACCGAGGAGGCGAGGCTGCAGGGGCCCCGCTGGGAAGGCTGCACATCTCGGGGGCGCGCAAACATGGATCAGCGGTCCATGGATTTGGCGCGCGGTGCCGAATCCATGGATCGGAGGAGGTGCCCTCCCCGAAGTGCGGCCGGTGCCGCCTCGTTCGGCGGCGGACACCCGCGACTTCCCCATGGAAACGGGACCCGTCGCCAATCCACGCCCCCCTTGATCCATCCGTGTTTGCGATCGCCTGGCCATCCTTACTATGCGTGGGGAGGCGTAGGAGCGCGCGCCGTACCGCACAACACCGGCGGCGCGGGGCCGGGGACGGGGAGCAGAACTGCGAGGCGGGGGTGTGTCCACATCAGGGCTGAGCCTAAGCGTTGTTTTCCGCTGCGTCGTCGTTCTGTGGCTCGTGTTGCTCTACCTGTTTTTTCCTGTACCTCCCTGCCAAAACGAAAAACAAAACGGGCCGAAGCCCAGCAGAACGGCGTTCAGCTCCAGCCCCGGTGCGCATCCACCGCCTGGGGACCGAGGTCCCGTGGGGGCCCGGCCCCGCCTCGGAGGCACGGGCCCCGCACCGCGCCGCCGTCGCCGAGGCCGCGACGAGGGGCCAAGCGAGAGTCCCCGGAGGCCGAGAGCTGCCCACAGAACCCTCCCGCCGTGCCTCTCCTCCGGGCTCCGGGCGCGAGCACGGCTGGGATCCCCCTTCGGAATGGGGGGAAAACAGACCTACCTCGCTTGTGACAATCCCTGGCTTCCAGGAGATACCAGGCGATGCCAAACTGCGGCCTGTACTGGTCAGGGCGCTTGACGAGGAGGCGCGTGGTATGACTTGGTTTTGCCTGGAAGCGAAAGCGGGGTAGGTCATTCACGCTCTGACTGAAGCCGTCCCCCCCTGCCAGAAACCTCCCGCCGTGATCCTGCTCAAGACGCGAGCACGTCTGGGATCCCCCAAGGCACCCATGCAGCCCCCCGGCCTTTGAGCAGGGACCGACCGTCCGGGCACTCCTGCAGGCCAACCAAGACATGTCTTCAGAAACCAGAACATGGTTTAAAGCCCAAACAAAACTTCTCAGACACAAGCCCGATGCCTTCAGACAAGACAGTCTCGGCCAGAAACGTTCTGAGAACATGTCGTGCAGACCACCAAAAAGGTTCTTGGAGCATTCTCTAGTAAGCATATAGGCAAGCCAGGACGCTTCGGCACTGCTCGAAAGGGGGAGTGACGACCCAAATGGGGGGTGAAAAAAGACACCCAAAGGGGTCCTTTAGGGCCACTTTTGGAGCCAACAGGGTCCCAAGAGGGGGCCCTGAAGGATCCCTTCGGGGCCCATATCTTCACCCCCAATCCAGCCACCCCCCATTACCATCCGCCCGAGAGTCTCGGAACCTCTCTGCTCTGGCCCCAAATTGGGAGGCCTGGGATCGAAGAAAAAACTCTATGAACACAATCTCGGAGGTCCTAAAGTTTATGTTTACACAATTTTCCCTTCTTCGATGGAACCCTGCAGCCCCCAGGCGGCGGCGGTGAGCTCCCCCCATCTCCCCCGGGATCAGTCAGCATCCAATTGGAAAATCGGATCGGATCTGAGTGCATCGGGATGGGCCGTATCGGCAAGGAGTCAAAACCGAATTGGACTTTTTCCGTGCCGGGAGGCACGACAACGCCGTGGAAGCATCGGGCCGCCTCGGACCGCTGTGAAATCGAATCGAGTCGGATCGAGCCGGGCGAACTCGACACCGAAGCGGGCCGATCAGAACCGGAATGGGCCCGAAACCCGGCACCGAGGCTCGAAACCGAAACCGAGACTCGAAACCGAGACCCGAGACCGAGACTCGAAACTAGAAGCCCGGCGATCGGGAGGAGGAGGAGGAGGAGGAGGAGGAGGAGGAGGAGGAGGAGGAGGAGAGGAGGAGGAGGAGGAGGAGGGGAGGAGGAGGAGGAGGAGGAGGAGGGAGGAGGAGGAGGAGGAGGAGGAGGAGGAGGAGGAGGAGGAGGAGGAGGCGGAGGAGGAGGAGGATACCGGACCGAAACGGAATGGGCCCCGCCCCCCCGGGGGTGCAGCGGGGCCGGGAGCCTGCGCGCCTGGGCCAGCCTGGGGAGGCGCAGGGCGCACGGCGAGCAGTGCCTGCACACTGCCCACACCTGCGCGAGCGGGGCGAGGGTTGGAGAGGAGGGGGAGGAGGAGGAGGAGGAGGAGGAGGAGGAGGAGGAGGAGGAGGAGGAGGAGGAGGAGGAGGAGGGAGGAGGAGGAGGAGGAGGGAGGGAGGGGGAGGGGGAGGAGGAGGAGGAGGAGGAGGAGGAGGAGGAGAGGAGGAGGAGGAGGAGGAGGAGGGAGAGGAAGGGGGAGGATGGGGGGGAGGAGGAGGAGGGGGAGGAGGAGGAGGAGGAGGAGGAGGAGGAGGAGGAGGAGGAGGAGGAGGAGGAGGGGGAGGGGGAGGAAGAGGAGGGGGAGGAGAGGGGGAGGAGAAGAACTAGTGCTAACCCAAGTGTCATCAACGATCTTGGAATAAACCCTCCTTCCAAGCTCCCTCTTCATAGGCCCCTACAACGGTTCATTTCCACTGAGGGAACTGCCTCGTTGGAATTTCCACTGGAGACCCTGAAGCATGCCGAAACATTGTTCTCGGGATTCCGACACCACATATACCCTGACTGTTGCGTCTTGACGATCTTGAACCGTGCCATAACACCACTCCTGGGACTTGAACACCGAGACTCGGCGTAACTGTTGCAGCCTCATAAACCTGAATCCTTCCAACAAAATATGTCTGGTTTGCTGTCCATGGGAATCCGTGAAACGAATGTGCGCGGCGCTAAGGCGAGAGCCACAGTTTGAAAAGGAACTGCCCTCAATCCGCGAAACCTTGGCAATGCTTTTAATCGAATGTGCGCGGCGCTAAGGCGAGAACCACATTTTGAAATCAACCCGCCCTCAATCCGCGAAACTCTTGTAAATGTGTAAAAGAATGTGCGCGGCGCTAAGGCGGGAACCACATTTTGAAAACGACCCGCTCTCAATCCGTGAAAGTCTCTCAATTTCCTTAAAACGAATGTGCGCGGCGCTGAGGCGAGAGCCACATTTTGAAACGGCCCGCCTTGAATCCGTATAACTCGCTATCTTACAACGAATGTGTGCGGCGTTAATGCGAGAGCTACATGTTGAAAACGACCCGCCCTCCATCTATAAAACAGCTGTCAATGTCTAAATTTCAGGGTCATGAATGATGAGGAAGTCTCAGGCGAAACGCCTGGCCCGCCCTAAAAACTGGCCTCCGGGTGCGACCGGGAGTAGTTATCTATAAGGAGAGTGAATGGAGGAGGAGGGGGAGGAGGAGGAGGGGGAGAAGGAGGAGGGGGAGGAGGAGGAGGAGGAGGAGGAGGAGGAGGAGGAGGAGGAGGAGGAGGACAAGGAGGAGGAAGAGGAGGAGCAGGAGGAGGAGGAAGGGGTTCCGTGGAGGAGGGTAGGGAGAAGACTGAGACATCCTGATGAGGCTGGAGGCCTCTCACCTCAGCTGCAAGACAACTAGCAACACGGATCACCCACGCCTGTACCACAACCCACACTTGCAACAATCACAGTTTGCTGCAAACGTATGCACACATGCGCACGCCTCAAACGGAAGAGGACACAGCTCGCTACAATTGACACACCAGCTGCCGGCCGCACAGTACTTGCTATATCGTCTACCTCCTATTCATATTCCCCACCATCTGGTTCTTCATATCGATTCGTCGCCACCTCCTCGACCAGGTGAGCGCATACTCCATGCCCGAGCAGGCTCACTATACCTGGTTATTGATATCGTTACCTCAGTTCTCAACTGCTGCGATCAGCAAGCTTGAGTTTGTCGGCCACAGCGTTTCAGTGGGTTCAGAATTGCCCTTGTCCTACATATTGACACTACGATTCACCAACCATCGTCTGCCCAACGTAAACAAAGGCAGAAGAAGGAGGAGGAGGAGAAGGGGACCATAATAAGTCCAAGATGCATGAGCGATGCCACGGTGCTCCCTCCCGTCCTAAGCCCCCTCCTCGAAAACCCTTACAGGTCTTCTATTTCACTATAAGAAGCGCCCCCTTACAAAACCAGCACCCTGCGGGCCTGACATTCAGGCGAGAACCCCCCTACAAAAAGGATCTGCATGCTGCCGCTCTGGCGAGTCATGAGGGATGCGAAGAGAAATGGCCCTGCAGGTCAACGAGATGCCCAGCCATGTCCCCCCGCTCGACAAGGACCGCTCCCATCAACAAAAAACTGCTGCACAAGGTCGCACGCCTGGTCATTCCTGAGCAGGGACCGACCGTCCCGGCATTCCTATAGTCCTACCACGAAATGTTCTGAAACCCAAAAATGCTCTAAGAACTCAACAATGTTCTTAGAACAGAAACCCGATGTGTTGAACCAAGACAGTCCCGGCCAGAAATGTTCTGAGAACATTTCGTGCAGACCACAACAGGTTCTTAGAGCATGGTTTGGTAGGGCTATAGGCGAGCCAGGACGCTGCGCCGCTGCTTAATCAAGACGCCACAGGCGAGAGCCCCCTGTTTTGGAAAAGGGCACCGGCCTCTCCACCCGCGCAGCGGCTGCGGGTGCCCAGCGCGTGGCCTGATGGCGACACGAGAGGTGAGGCAGAGGCCCCGCCTGGAGGGAAGGACCAATCGAGCCGTCCTCCGTCCGTGCAGCGGCTACAGCTGCTCAACGTGTGGCCTGTTAGCGACATGGGAGGTGAAGCAGAAGCCCCGCCTGGAGGGAAGGACCCGTCGAGCCGTCCTCCGTCCGTGCTGTCGCAGTCGGAGTGGGGGTCAGGCGAGTGCGCGCGGCAGCACGACGCCAACCCCGTGTTGAAGACAGCCCGTGCTCACTGTTGTAAAGGAGGCTGTTTGAAATAAATGCGCGCGGTGACAAGGCGGGAGTTACTTGTTGACCACCCCTACAAACCTTCATCCCTGCAACTGATGCAAACATGTTTGGAAATAATACGCGCGGCGCCAAGGTGGCAGCCCAATGTTGAACAAGAACCGCCTTGGATACTGTAACTGTTGCAGGCTGTTTCCCAAACATCATGTGCCGTTGGGTCCTCGGTTTGGAGATAAAGCGCCCCGCGTCTCCTTCCCTTCCGCTCATCGTCGTCAGCATCGTCATCATCATCCGTACCACCGTCAGCATCATCCTCACCATCATCAGCATCATCGTCATCATCATCAGCATCATCAGCAGCATCATCAGCATTATTATCAGCGACATAATCACAATTACCATCGTCCCCATCAGCATCAGCATCATCATTGTCATCATCATCATCATCAGCAGCAGCAGCATCAGCAACAGCATCATCATCATCATCATCATCATCATCATCATCATCATCATCATCATCATCACCCTCATCCTCATCATCATCATCATCATCATCATCATCATCATCATCATCATCATCATCATCATCATCATCATCATCATCATCATCATCATCATCATCACAGCAGCATCAGCATCATCATCAGCATCATCATTGACATCATTGACATCAGCATCAGCAGCATCATCAATATCAGTAACATCATCATCATCAGCAGCAGCATCATCGTCACCATCACCACCACCATCATCATCGTCATCATCATCGCCATCACTTCCAGAATCCTCATCATCATCATCCTCATCATCCTCACCATCACCATCATCATCACCACCACCAGCATCATCATCAAAATCAGCATCAGAGTCCTCCTCCTCATCATCAGCATCGTCATCAATACCATTAGCACCATCGTCATCATCAGCCGCAGCATCAGCATCATCATCATCATCATCATCAGTATCATCATCATCAGCATCATCAAAATCAGCATCATCATCATCATTATCATCATCAGTAGCATCAACATAATCATCATCCGCAACAGCATCATTATCATCAGCATCATCAGCATCATAACATTATCATCATCATCAGCAGCATCATCAACATCATCATCAGCATCATCATAGTCATCAGCATCATCAACATCATCAGCATTACCACCATCACGACCATCATCGTCATCATCACCGTCAGTATCATCGTCATGGTCGTCATCATCATCGCCGTCGTCTTCATCATTGTTGTCACCGTTTCGCGCCCCCCATGGGGAGCTTGGAAGCTCTTCAGTGACGGTGTTCGTAGACGTCTCTCCCGCCCATTACAACGCGCTTCGTGGCCCCATAGGGACCTCCACCGAGGGCCCCAGTGGCGGTGTTCGCATGCGTCTCCCCCACCCAGTACAGCGTTTCGTGGCCCTATGCGGAGCTCCACCGAAGGCCCCAATGGCGGTGTTCGCATGCGTCTGTCCGGCCCATTACAGCACTTCGTGGCCCCATGGGGAGCTCCACCGAAGGCCCCAGTGGCGGGGATCGTATGCGTCTCCCCTGCCCACTACAGCGCTTCGTGGCCTCATAGGGACCCCACCGAAGGCCCCAATGGCGTTGTTCGCATGCGTCTCCCCGACCCGGTACAGCGCTACGTGGCCGCACAGGGAGTTCTACCCCAGGCCTCAGTGGCGGTCTGCGTCTGACGCCAGCAAGACGCGACCTGCAGCCCCAGGAGCGATGCACACCCCAGATGCAGTGCAGACGCAAAACCTTCAAGAGACCACGACCATGCCAGCCAGCACCCAGGCCAAGGCGCAAGCAGCAAGGCGGTAAGGCCACCGCTGGACAAGCTGCCGGCAGGAAAAGGCGCCGACCACAAGAGATGTCCGTGGAAATTACCACGCACACCCATGGGAACGCAAGAACGCCAATGCCCCGAGCACCACGAGAAGTGCAAAGCACCACCCAGCCGCGCCCCCGAGACATCCCGGAAAGACATCAGGCGAGGCGTCCAGAAGGCCACCGCCTAAGGCGGCATGACAATAACATCCTGACAAACAACGGGCAGGATGGCGCAGAACATGATCCGCCCGCGAACCCGCAAAGGGACTGAGAACTGCGAGGCACAGAACCGTTGTTTCAGGACCTCAATTGCATATGCAATTGGGCGATGCCAGGTTGACATGCCAGGGGGACGCGCCGCAGAATGTCCCAGGGGACGCACCAGGGGACGTGCCAGCAGACGTGCCATGGGGACGGTCTTCCTAGCTCGTTTCCATCCCCCTTCTTGCCCTTCGGGGAGGGGTTGACCCCTCCCTCTCGCCCCTCCCCTGGACCTAGAGGGAGGGGGGGGGGGGGGGCGCGACCCAGTGGAGCGTCCAAGACGGCCTCAGCGAGAATGATAAGCCACATTTTGGCTTCCTGGGTGGGGGGGCTCAAATCCCCCCCCCTTCTTTGATCGATCTGCTCCAAGATTGCTCCAAGATCACCCCCATGCCCCAAGGCTCCCAAGAGTGCCGCAAGAGGGCCCCGAGAGTGCCGAGTAAGCCACAAGAGGCCCCAACAGAGGTCCACAAGAGGCTCCCCTGAGGCACCCAAGACGCTTCAAGATGCCCCGGGGCTGGCAAGAGGCCCCCAAGACGCCCTAACGGGACTCCAAAAAGCTGTCAAGACATCCCGAAGGGCATCCAAGAAGCTTCTTGTGTTTTCTGCTTGCCCTCCTCCTCCTCCTCCTCCTCCTGATCTTCCTCCTCCTCCTCGTCCTCCTCTTCCTCATCCGCTTATTCCTCCTCCTCCCTCCCCCTCATCCTCCTCCTCCTCCTCCTCGTCCTCCTCTTCCTCATCCGCCGATTCCTCATCCTCCTCCCTCCCACTCCCCATCCCCCTCTCCCTACTCCCCCACCTCCTCCGATTCCTCCTCCATGCTCCCCCTTGTGGGGTATGACGTCTAGCCCAGCCTCCGTTTCACTGCGTGCTCCTCCATATTCCTGATCAGGGCAACTCGTCTGGGCATCGTGCCTGAATGGGATGGTTGGGTTACGCGAAGCATTTAGAGTTCTTTCAATGAGATGTAACAGTTGTCATTTGGACCTCGTATCTCGATGCGAGCTTGAATCAGGCTCGTGAGCTGAACACGAAGGTTGTGAAACACGAGGAAGAACAATCGAATTCCCCACTCCAATATTCACTCGCCTCCGAAAACCAAGCGGCCCGTTCTAGGCCCCCAGGCGCCCCCAAGAGGCCTCAGGAGATCACCAAGAGGACATCAGAGGCCCCCAAGAAGCCCATAGGACCCAGGAGGCTCTCACGAGGCCCCCAAGAGGGCCCCCGAGAGGCCTCATCCTCATCCTCTTCCTGCTGCTCTTCCTCCTCCTTATCCTCCTCCTCCCCCCCAATAACCCCCAAGAAGCCCCCAAGAGGCCCCAGACAGGCCCCAAGGAGGCCCCACAAAATCCCCAGGAGGCCTTCAATGAGCCACCAAAATGCCCCCGAGAGGCATCCAAAGAGAACCCGCGAGGCATCCAACACGCATCTGGCTCACGACCTCGGCACGGTGGCGGAATGCACCGACGCAACTGCAGCGGGGGCGTGTTGCGTTCAGTGATGCCGTGCAAAGACCATGCCACTGTTTCTCCCCAAAACGAGATTCACGCGACAGCTTAGGAAACGACCGCGACCCACCTTTCTCAGCCCCCGTGAGCACGCAAGCAAGTGCCAACGATTATACGATACAGTCAAGCGGAATGAGCGGCGCGATTGAAATATGTGAGACTGTGAGGAACGTCGCCGGACAATCTGGCATGAGCTAAACGAGCTGCTGACCTCCGAGTTCCAGACTGCGTCGCGACGACTTCCGTTCTCAGGGTCTGCTCGAACAGCCTGAGGACCACGGCTTCGTCCCCACTGCACGTAAGATGCGTGCGTCGAAATTCATTGCGGAACCTCTTCACCGTGTTCGCCTTCAGGTCGCTCGCGATTCCGCACAGCCTCTCGACGTCGGGGTCCACCTCCCGATTGTCGACGCTGCCAAAACTGCAGGCGAGGCAAAATTCGAGAAGACACCAGCCCCGCGACATGTAGTCCTGCCCTGCCGCCATCCTGCCACTCATGGGCAGCACTATCACGCACACGCCCGCAAGGCTGTAAAGCTTCTCGAACGAGCCGAGCGCCCGCTCGATCAGGAGCTCCTCGGCCCCCGTGCGGACCGCCTGGTGCTCGACGGGCTTGGGCCACCTGTTCTCGCCGTCCAGCCGCTGCAGGTCTGGGTCCTGCGGGTCGTGCTGGGTCCTGTGGGTCGACGGCCTCGTGGTCAGAGGCACCAAGAAATGTCACTTTCCCGACTAGGATCTGCAGCTTCTCTCCTCCAGGGTCTGGGTGGGCTGGCGACATCCACGGGCGCGACACCACGTACTTGGGCTTCCGCTGATCCCTCGAACCTGGGAAACCCTCGCTGCCGACAACCGCCTCGACATCAGGGACCTTCGAGAACGATGATGAAGATGAGCACGGGAGATTGAAGGAGCAAGAGCAGGAGAGGGAGCAGGAGGGTGGGAGAAGAAGGAAGAAGAAGATCGGGAAGAGAACGACCTCCTGGCAGCGAACCATCTGAGAACTCAATCCAGCCAAAAGTCGCAGATACCTGACCCGGAGCCACTTCACGCGGGCATCGTCCAGATAAGCCAGAAACTCCAGGTAGAGCCCCTGCAGCTCCTCGGCGTTGTAGCTGCTGATGCCCTTGAAAGACATCACCGCCAGGCCGGCAGCCGCAGCGACTGCGGCCCGGCGAGACCAGCGAGGAAAGCGATCTGCAGGTCATTGAACACGACGCCGGCGGCGCGGGCCCAAGACCACTCGGGAGCGGCCAAGAGGGGGGTGTCCAAGAGGGGGGGGTGCAAATCATGACCGGCGGCGTGTGCGCGGCCCAGCGGGGGGGCCAGGGACGTAATGAAACAAGAAGAGGCGCAATGAAATCTGGGGAAATATCATGGCCCCCGCCATGATATCCACCCCCCCCTAGTCATCACCCCCCTCTTTTCCGCCCCCGAACCACAAGCCATGGTCCACCCGGGAAACCATCAAGTCCACGATGGCCAGCAGACCTGACGCCGCCACCCGCGCGGCCGTCCCGCGCAGCCAGCTGGCCTCCCACGGTCGACCGGAGCGCACGTGGGTCGCCGCGGAGGCCAACAGGCCGGAAGCACCACAACAAGACACCCCCATCATACTAAGCACCAAGTCCGCACACCGACAGACTCGCATGAAGAGCCTGCGTCGTGTCCGCGATAGAGCCTCCGACTGCAGACAACGTCCCGACCATGAGTGCCGGCGGGCACGGCGTGAGACTCATGATGCGGCTTGCCTGCGCCAGCCGACGGCTCCCGAGAGCGAGCACCTTCAGTACGATCGGGTGGCATGGGGTGAAGAAGATCACCAACCGGGCCAGGTTGAGGGCCCAATGTGTGGCCAGCTGCCACACAGCGCCCGCCGCGCAGTGGCAGCCGCGCTCCAGGGCAGGCCAGAAGATGAGGGGCAACGATAGGGGGGGACTGGCATAGGGGGGGATGCATCGACCTGGAATCGGCGATACATCGCCGATAGATCGACGGTAGGCCTCCGATCGAGAATCCGCACCTTCCTGGGCAGGTTGGGGCCATCGGGCCCCCATCGGCGATCAGTGGGCGATTGGGGGTCGATGCATCCCCCCTATGCCCATCCCCCCCCATCGTTGCCCCTGAGCAGAGCAGGGCGGCCGCGTGGACAGGGGCGCAGGCCCCCGCGCGCCGCGTCCACGTGTGCGGCGGCACGGCGCGGCAGCACCTGCGAACCGCGACGCGCCAGGCCACAGCGGCCAGGCGCGCAGGCGCGGAGACCGCGCACAGCCAAACAGGCCACCACGGGGCCGCCGAGCGCGAGCAGAGCCAGGGCGGCCACGGAGAGCGCGACGGCACGGCGCCTGGGCGAGCTCTCGCGCGCCCCGTCGTCGTCGCTGGCGGCCTCGCCCTGCCTGCCTGAGGGCCGTCCGAGTGGGGCCGGAGTCGATGGGGTCGGTGGATCGCGCCGCAGCGGCTGCGCATCGGTGATGCACTGACGCGTCGCAGTGGAGAAGATCGGGTAATTCCCGCCCTGCCCACATCCGCTCGAGATCGGTCCCAGGTCCATCCTGACCTGCTCTCCGTGGCGGATCCAGCCGTGGCGTCGGGAGGCCTCTGGAAGGCCAAAGAAGGACACAACACAACGCGCCAGGGAAGGCCAACGTTGTCTCGACTGGCCGCATCGCCGATGCATCGCCGATGCATCGCCGATGCGGCGCGATCCTCCAGCCCCATCCGCTTCGGACCCATCTGGGCGGCATGGGCCGCCAGGAAGGGCATCTCTCCTGGAGTCGGGCAGCACGATGCCACAAATGCCCTCCTGCTGGCCGGGGCCAGTCGAGCTGGGCGGCGCGGTGGCGGCGGCGGCCTGGGATGGACAGAGCACTTAGGTCGGGCATGTCCGCCTACAGGCGGATTTCGGGTGAGAAAATATCGAAGAAATACCCCCAGCTAGCCAACAAATAATCAAAAAATAGTCCCAGGGCTATTTTTTGACTATCTTTGAATTTTCCTCCTGTAGGGGGACACGCCCGACTTAACAGAACACCCCTTCTACGAGGCGGGGCTTGCCACCGCCTGGGGGGTCCATACCTCGGCAGGCGGTGGATGTGGGTGTACTTGGCCACCCCAGCGCCCGAACAGTACTCGGGCCCGCCGCCTGCCGAGGTCCCGCAGATGGATGCCCCAGGCGGTGGTCATGGATAACCCCCCCCTCGGACAGGAGCCCCCTCTCTTCTCTTCGGGTGACCCAAAAGGGGGTCCAGCTGAAAGGGGGTGGTGCAATAGATCTGGGGCAATTGGATTGCAAACGTATTGCGCCGGAGAATTGGATTGCATTGTATTGCAAGTAATGCGCTGCACGCGAAAATCCAGCAATACATTTGCGCCCCGGGATGTATTGCACGCCCCAGATTTACTGCAACCCCACAAACCTATTGCAGCAAGTCTATTGCACCACCCCCTCGTCGCTGGACCCCCTGTTGGGTCAACCCAGCTCTCTCCCCCCGTACTCCGGGCAGGCGTAGAGGTGGGGTGGGCCCAGAGGTGGGGCCAGAGGATATGCGCTCTGGACGGCACCAGGAGGACGGACATGTCAGCCTCGAGAGCTGGGTTCGCTCCCTGCCCAAACATTTGGCTGGCCCTCCCTCTACGCACCCTCGCGGCTTGGCGGGACACGCTCCGGTGGAAGCGGCCCGGGGGCCAAACTCCGCGGGCGCGAGCCCGCGAAAGTAGCGGCTGGCACCGCTGTGCCCAGAGGCCCACAATCGGGCGTTGGCAGAACTGGGTTTAGTGGGGCATGGTATAATGATGTGTACCGGGGGACGCCCCCCCCCCGCTCCGCTCCACTAACCGGAACTTCAGTCACCCGAAAAAACACCAGCTACAGCAAACCTGCTTGAATGATTCCGGCCAACTTGGAGGCTCCGGGGCCCTACTACTAACCGGGTCCCCTTACCGGGGGTCCTGGCTATACCCGACACAAAAGAGCACACACACACACACACACACACACAGCGGGCGGACCCGCCAGTCCACTTGGCAAGGGTGGCTCGCCGAGACATCCGGCGGTGCGACTCTTTCAACGCGCGGCCCTATGGCACAGATCCCGCCCCCCTCCCCCCGGGCGAAGAGTTGTCCCAGATCCGTTCCCGGAGGTCCCGGGGCCGGGCCACGGGCGCCAGCGGCCGAGGTGGGGGGAGACCGCCGGGACTGGGAGGCCCACATCGTCGGAGAGACCTGGGGCGGGGGGCTCTCCACCCACGCCTGATCGGTGGGGGACGGAGGTGGTCTGGCGCTGCTGCTGCCTCGCGGCAGCGCCGTCCACGGACGTGTGTCTCAAGTCTGCCTTTTGTGGTGTGCGCACGCGGCGCGGGCCAGCGCGCGGCAGTGGGTGCTCACACTTCGGGGATGGACGGACCTCCCTGTAGTAAAACGTGGCTTCGTGAAAACGACCTCGGGCCCAAACCTGGCGGGCGCCAGCCTGGAAAATAACGGCCGCGGCGCCCTCTCGAGAACCGAAAACGCACAATTCACTAACCGACGCGTCACTGTTAGGAGGTCTGTCCACCCCCGAACAATATGTCCCGATCCCCGCCACGGATGTGACTCTGCGGCGGCGCCGCAGAGTCACATCCGTATGTATATATATATATATATATATATATATATGTTGGCCAGCGTGCGCCCCGAGGAGTGACGTCTTGCGGTCTGTGCCGTGCACTCCATGTGGTGCAGCCCGTGCAGTGCACAGTCGGGGCGTTGAGGAAGGAACCCTTTGCGCTGGGGAGGGGCTCGTTGTTCCTTGCTTGTTCCACACCCTGCCCAAGGGGTTCCCTTACGTTTTCGATGGGAAGTCGAAGTTCAATGTACGGAAAAAAAGGGGGCCTCGTTCCTTATTTAGGGTTCCTTAGGTCAACGCCTCGACTGTAATACATGAGGAAGCTCTGCACGGCAATGAAATTCAGAAAACAGCAATGCGATCACAATGCCATTGCAACACGATTGCAACGCATACTCCAGACTTCGTAATAAAGGGAGGGGGGTCTCATTTCGGGGGGGGTCTCTTCCAGGCTATCTTGGAGGGCCTGGGGGGTCTGGGGACGAGGTTTTGGAGGGTTCTCCCACGGGGGAGGTCTGAAATGGCTTGTCTTGGAGGGTCCAGACCCCCTCCCTTTTATTACGAAATCTGGAGTAGCAAAGCAATCCGACGGCGACGGCGGCAGTGGGCGGCGACGAGCTGGCCAGATCGCCACTGGGGCTCAATCACCAGCGGCGACGGCGGCGGCGACGGATGGCGACGAGCCAGCTGGACCAGCACTGGAGCTCGATTACCTCAAGAAGGCAAGTGAGCAAGCACTGTTTGGAGAACTACACTCGCTTTGACTCACCCTCGCTCCATACAGTCGGGGCCTTGACCCAAGGAACGATCAATAAGGAACGAAGCCCCTGTTTTATCCCAAGGAATAACGCAGAAGGAACGAGAGATAACAAATAACGCATAGGGAACTGTAAGTCACGCAAGCAAACCTAAGGAACGACCGAGCCCCTTTTGAAAAGTAAGCGTTCCTCGTTCAAGCCGCTCACAGTCTTCGAAGGACCACCCTCCGGCCGCGCCGCGAGCTCCCGGCTCGGGCCCGCCTCCGGCCCGAGGGAGGGTGTCCGCAGCCGCCGCTGCGCGCGGGCGCGCGGACATGCTTCTTGCCGAGCCTGAGGCCGTCGGAGGGGGGGCCCGCTGAGACGGCAGCGGGCCTCCACAGCGGTCGTCGTCCCTGTGTTGGGCCCCGTGGGCCCGGACAGCAGGACGCGCGTGATGATTCTTCCTGGATCTCTCCTCCGTCCTATCCCCCCCCACCCCCCTTCGCGCAGCCTTCCCGCACGCACGACGCGAGCAAATGTGTGCACTGCCTGTGCACCGCTTGGGCGCCTGGCTGGGCTGCTTGCTTGGGCCCAGACATGCGATGTCCTGACTCTTCCAGACGCGGCTCCCCGAAGCCCCGAAGCCCATCCTCGTGAAAGGCTCAACGACTTCCGCCGTCCTTCGACTCGCGCGGGGGCGGCCGCGGGTTGCTCCAAATCCCACTGGAGATCTCTGGATTGACCTGGACGTACCAGGATCTCTCTCGAGGCATCTGCACCTGCCCAGATCTGCCTCGATCTATCTGCACCCACCTGAATTTACCGGGCCCGGTCGCCACAGATCGTGACTGCCTGCCAGACCACACCGACCCAACCCGAAGACCCGCATCTCGGGCTGGGGGGGGGGGGTACGGGTTCCATATGTTTGTTTTCTCGACGTTCCCCGACCCCCCCCCCCCCCACACTGGAACTGGAGGTCAACCTGAGGCCTTCGGGCTGGGTCGGGGTGGTTTGGTGCGAGGTCGATTGGTCCCCAGGATTCCACGAGAATTTCCAAGGACCTGAGCGAGGTCCCTGGAATCCAGCAGAAGTTCTGGGGATCTGAGAGAGACCTCTAGGATTCCTGCAGGATCTCTGGGGATCTGAGAGAGACCCCTAGGATTTCTAAGGAAATGTCTAAGGATCTGAGCGAGATCCCTAGGATTCCTGCAGAATCTCTGGGGATCTGCGAGAGAGCCCAGGAAGGAAGGGGCCCTGAGACACACAGATAAATACACACAGATAGCAGGACTCGCCAGATGCTTCCATACTTGTTGGATTTCCGCCTCCCCCCCCCACTTCCCATATGTTTGCACATCTTCCTGGGAGTCGACGATTCAATGTGTCTGTGTGTTTTTTCCCCTCCTGAAGGAGGACGGAAAAAAGAAAACCTGCCGTGTCGTGGTTTTGTTGGCAGAGCGCGAGCATGTCAGGGGGGGGGTCCTCTCCTCGGGGAGAACGAAAGCAAGGGCACCCAGCTTCGCGCTTCGCGCTGCGCGAAGCGCGAAGTGCGAATAACTTCGCGCTCTCGGGCCGCCTCCCAGGGGAGAAGAGAAGGAAGAGGAGGAGGAGGAGGAGGAGCCGAACCGCGAAGCCCGAACAACTTCGCGCCCTCGAGGGCGCCCTTGGAAAGAGGGGGATAGCAAAGGGCAGGGTTGAGAATCAGCTCACGTGGCTGACTTTCCCAGCGCCTCCCGGCGCTGGGAGGCGCCCATGACGGGGGGAGCCCAGGATGCGTTCCAGGAGTTTCGAAAATATAGTCCGAGAGTTGAATTTCAGGCTACGGAAACAGGCTGCGCCACGCTGGTCCCGGGCAGGCTGTGCTGCCCGGCGGAAGGGGGCGAGGACGGGAGAAGCAGGCAGACGACGACGGACGCCCAGGCAGGAGGCCAGGGCCGGCGGGGCGGGCGGGCAGGCCATGTGTCAAGGAATGGGCCTGGCGGCGGGGCCGAAACCCGCTGCCTGCCACAGATTTCGTGACCCCCCCTCTCCCTATAGGCCCCCCTTTCGTTCGGCCCGAGGACC